GTAAACAAGGTATGACGCCAAAAAGGCACATCTCTAGAGAAATCGAATATAAACAAGTCATAAGCTGTTATAAGGAATGAGATACGAGAATAGAGAGTAGATATACCATGATGGGAGTAATAAAACAACCGTTTGGCAGAAAGTTGATCAAGGGATGGACTATTCTACGAGTGGTAGCTTAGGAGTAAGATTAGCAAGACTCACTAACGACGCTGGCGACACTTCTGGAAATGTTCCAAGTCCACGAGCAGAAGCAAGGAATTATCATAACTACTATAGCAGAGAACTTGGGACGAGGTGCGTAAATTAGGTCTCCATGAAAACAAGTTGCGAAAAAGAGGTTAGATGACCTCAATATAGCGAAAGGAGACTTTGGCCAAAACAGAAGCCACAGCATCTTGATATTCATATACATGCTTAATTTGGTACTTAAACAAATATAAATACTTTACGACCAAAAAGTAAAAAGTTTGCTTCATAATAAAATCGTGTGTTACAAGGAAAATATGCGTACAGAAAAAATCATTGAGTATACAGTCTGGACGCACCCATTCAGAATATCCGAAGGGACGTCATGACTAACAGGTTGTTTGGCCACTGCTACATCAAAGCTTATGACTGAATCTACTGAATTAGACTGTAGCTGACTCTTCACCAATTTCACGACAGCCCGTACGCCTTGAACAAAATTACGTCTGGCGACAACTTCCTCAGCCAATAAATTGAATCGACCAGGATTTCGCTCAACAATGGCAACAGTCTCCTATAAAAATTTCAAAATTAAGATTAAAAATAAATTAAAATCTGTTTGTTTTAGCCAACCTGCAAATCTTCCAGGTCCCATTCAATATTTCTAATCATCTGACGAAGTAGTTTCGAGGAATCTGAATCTTCTTTAACATTTTCACTTGTCCATGTGATATAGTGAGTCTTGGCCTTAGAAAGTGAGGTGACAATTTCGTCTTGCACTATAAAATATGGATCTGTTTGAGAATTCATTGAAGTCACATCAGATAAATTCCATGCTGCAAAGGAAGCAAGAGTATATATATATATGAATATATGTATAATAACGTGTAAAATAAAATATAAATAAATCAATAAACGGTAGGATATCTTATTCAGATGAGGTAGGTTGCATCAAACTAGGCCCAAGATATAGATTAAACTAAGCTTAATTAGTGGGTTGACCTCGTTGTCGCAACTTGGTCTTGTGTTCAGGGAGACTATGTAGAACGCACCGAGTCC